GGACGAGGAACAAACTCTACCTAAATGAGCCATCCCAGTGGCTTTGACAAAACAGCACAAGTTGACGCCCTGGAGTGGACTTCCAGGGTTTCCACAGTGTAGTACAGGATATCTTGGCAGAGACTTCCCATTCCATGCACTGGTTACTGTCTATCCATTTAGATAAGTTAATAAAAAGACAACACTTTGGCAAGCATACTCCCGTCTCACAGGGAGCGCCTACCTGTATGCAACCAAAGTGCTCAGTTGATTAATCAGTACTACTTGGACAACAAATTGAAACTGGGAAACTGAAAAATCTTGTCCCTAGTCAACACATTTTACATATTTATACACAGATGTTTGTCTGCTGAAAGCACCAAGTCTCAGCAAAGCTCAAGGAGGTTATGAACTCTAGACTGTTTACTCAGGCTGATGTGCTGCTCATTTCAGTGACCCAAAGGACCCACGTGAACCCAGGATCACATCAAATAAGCACAATATCCTAAAAAGCAACACTGCTTTTTTGTTGAACTGAAAAGTGAGAGTGTAAACTTCAGGATCTTTCCTGCAGTTAACGAAATGTGGATGTTGAAGGGTACAAAGAAAGACAGATGTTGAAATTAAATAGCTGCCATGCTTGAAAAGTCAAGCTTAACAGAGTGCAACCTGCCCTATAAAACGATGCTCATTTGTATTTTAACTGATCTGAACGCCAAAGGTGATAAATCACAGCATAGAGCCCATCCCGAGTGCACTGTGCTCAGATAAAATTGCAGGACTGGAAATGGGTTTGTTTTCATTATCCCCTCCCATTTAAGTCAGTAGCCATGAGACGCAAGATAAACAAATAAATATTTAGCTCTAAGCAGTTTATATAAATAGGTCACACCACCTTCTTCTTCTTCTTCTTCTTCTTCTTCTTCTTCTTCTTCTTCTTCAGAGAAACTCTTTTCCAATAACAAACTGACACTGATGCTCACAACAGACACTGAGACATTTATGATTGAATGCTAGCCTTAAAAGTTTCAATGTGTATTAAATTTCCTCCTTAATACAATAGCCTACATCAAAATAAGGCATTCCCAATACGAGAGCTTTGAGGCTACGTGGGTTATAGACATGTTAGAGTTCATTGGAGGGATACTGCTGGTTTGCGCTCACAGATGTGGGTCTGCCACTGCCTGCCAAACACATTGCATATGTCAACATTCATTTTCAGGAATCAATAGTGACCCTTTGTCCCTAATAACTGTAATGTGGGATAGCAAAGCTTAACATTTCTCTGTCCCAGCAGGATTTCTGGGTTGTTTCTTTTGGGATAGTTACAAATATGTTTGATGTAGATGGTGGTTTTTCTGACATTAAAAGAGTTCTGCAGTGAAACTGTAGTCTCGACTCTGCTAATTCTCAGTGAAGTTTTTCCCTTCTGTGTTATAACTTCACGCTGAGGTATAAGAGAATATAGGAGAAGTCTCAGTTAAAGCACAGTACAGAAGATACTTGACAGAGGACAAATCTTTGGATGTACAAAACAGATGTACACAGACCATCACATATAGCACTGTGTCAGTTTAAGCTGTGGTGATGCAGACGTAGGTGATTTAACATCATAATGAATTAGATTTCCACTCCTAGGAAATTAATATACTTCTCTGTGTTTTGGACCTTATGAATATTGTTAAATTCATTTTTGATTTTGAGAAATGATCATATTACCTGGATTTTATATTGTTTTGTTTTCTTGTTTAGTTCCTGTGAATAGAAATAGTAGATCTTGGTAATCCCTGGTAATTTCCCTGCTATATTGTTAGAGGTGTCTAGTTTATTTTCAAGTTATTTAAGTGTTATCAGTTTCAGTTCCTGCTCCCTTGGTCTGGTCTCTTTGTTTTCTACTTGGTGTCCCCTCCTGTCTGTCATGTCTCTCGCCCTCTCTCTCTCTCTCACTTGTCCTTGTATCTGTGCTCTGTCTCCATGTTCTTCTCTTTGTGTTTCATCCTTTGTCACCCCCAGTCTGTCTGTTTATCCCTGCCTGCAAGTCCTACTCTGAGTCTTGGTATGCATGACACTTCCTGTTTTATTTTGACAGTCCCTTGTCTCATGTGGATTGTGTTCAGCTTCATTTCTCCTGACTTATTATGCCCGATTAGTCCCTCCTGTGGGCCTCCACTTTCCCTAATCATCCTCATGTGTATAAATTGTGTGAGTTCCCCTTCATCCTCACTGGAATGTCAGTTCACCTCCCTCCATGTGTCTTTCCGGGTTTCACAGTCTATGATCTTAATGTTTAGCTTTGCCCAGTTTGGTTAGTAAAGTCTGAGTCTCCTTTTGTTTTGTATTCTTCTTTTGTTTTTCTCCCGGCCGAAATAAACTGTCTAGTCCTGTTTGTATGCGTCTGCTTTTAGGTCCTCTCTCCAACATGACAGACAGAAGAAATCCAGTCTGGATTCATGAGTACTTCTCATGAGTACTAACTCTGTAAAGACTATATGCAATGACCTCCCCTGTACCCTTAATGCCCGGTTTTGAATAGGGATGGGTATTGTTTAGGTTTTATCCGATACCAGTACCAAACCGGTACTTTTTAAACGGTGCCGGTGCTTAAACAGTGCTCGAACAGTGCTCTTAAAGAATGGAGAACACAAAATTGGTCCAAAAACCTCTCGTGTTCAGCTGTTTTTTTTTTTGTAAAAAGATAACAATGTTAGCCTTTTCTGCAGCTATAGGGGATTTATGACATCACTCTTGGCTGGAAGCAGTGCTTAAACAATGGAAAACACAAACTTTGTCCAAAAACCTCTCATGTTTAGCTGTTTTCCACTTTTTCTTTGGTCATTTTAGCCTTTTTGGCCAGGGTGAAGGGAGTATCTGCCATCAAACAAGAAGACAGCCGCATGTAGCTACGACTGTGTTTGCTAGTTCACCTTACATGCATTAAGTTAATAACGTGGTTAGCCTACTCAACATAAATTACACACGAACAACATTAAGCTACTCACACAGAGAAGAACGGCGGCTGCTGCCGTCATCATCAGTCATCATTTCTGCTACACTGGCAGGGCTCGGGGCCAGGACTCTCCTCTTTGGGTTCTTGGGGAATGTTGCTAACTCCGGGTCAGATAACCAGTGTTGCCAACTTAACAATTTTGTCGCTCTATATTTAGCGAGTTTTCAGACCCCCTTAGCGACTTTTTTTCTAAAAAGCGACTAGCGACAAATCTGGTGACTTTTCTGATATTATTGGAGACTTATTTATGACGACTTTTTGACGTGAAAACGCGTATCGCTCTTACTCTCAACAAGCAGCGGGTGCTGCCTTGGGCACCTCACCCGTGCCAAAGTGCTCACAGGCAGAGGATAGTCCTCCCCAGCTGCTATCAGAGCAGGAGATGTTCACACCTGTGCGTCCGAACGGCAAATGAATAGCGCATGAACGAAGCCGCTGCTCCCGCACTGACTGTAACGCAGTCAGTTCTTCTTTTAATGTTATGCTGTTTTGTGGATCACAAGGTTTAAAACTACTTATAAACGCACACTCTCACACACAAAGTAACTCCACCAGAGTGCCTATTTCAGGTCACTTTTGCCGGTCCAGGCCTGGATAAAGGAGCAGGGTTGGAATTGTGACATTAAAAAACAATAATTGCTAAAATAAATTTAATTTGTAGTTCTAAATAAATTCTAACTGCATTTAGGACGTTTTTTACTCACTTTATGTCTCTTCTACGATGTTATTTCTCTCTCCAACAGCATAGGTTACAATCACATTAGCATGACCAATTATGCAAATTAGGCGATGACGTCATTTGGCGACTTCTAGCGCAGCCGATAGCGATTTTCCTTACTGAGGAGTTGGCAACACTGCAGATAACAGGCTAACCACGCGCAGTAGATGTGCACGGTGTGAGGTCTCGCAGCAAGCTAGAAAATACAGCGCATTTCTCGGCTTTTAACAAAATGCTATACATCGCTAGGTGTTTCATCAGATTCGAGGAGTTACCTCCTTTTCACAGTATCACCTTAAAGCACTTGTTGCAGGCTGCTGAGTTTGCATCATTTGCTCAGAAGTACAGCCAGACTTTGACAGCTTCGCCTTGGGCATTTTTAATCTGTAGCTCTGCTCTAAAAGAATGTACGTACCTGGGCCCGCCTACTACGCTCGCAAAGATAAAATGATTGGCTGGAATCCAAAGTGTATGACATCTCAGGAAAAAAAAAAGCGCTGCTTTTCGGTCTGGTTACTACCGTTTATGTCAGAACCGGTGCCATAATGATACCGGTACCCATCCCTAGTTTTGACCCCTCAATATATAACAATATATCATGTACTGTATTTAAAAGATGGATGTGACATCACCCTTGACTTGATCTTAGCCTTTAGTTTTGGATTCGGAATTTTGAAGTTTCACCACCATTTTGGCTACCACTGTGTTGGCTTATTGGAGAAAGAAGTGAACGTATTTGGATGGCAGCACTATAAGGGAAAGCTAGCAAATTTGGTTAATGAGCTGTGTTCATTAACTTTACAGTTAAATTACACAAACAGAAACATTTAACAGACAAAACACTGAATATAGCTCGCCAAAGCACAAATTGCCGAGATGGTTAGTTCCACAGATTATCTGTTAGATAATTTAGTTAAAATGTTCAAAAAGGCACCAACAGCAGAAAAAAGAAGTCCGGATTAGAGGCTCCCACTAGTGGAGGTAAAGCCCAGACAGTGATGGGCTATAGCTGCCAGGTACCTGTCAAAGTAGCCATGGAGCTAACCTTAAGTCTTAACACTATGAGTTCTAAAAAGTAAAACCCCTACCATGTACAATGGTTTGGAAGAGATCCATGTATCCTCCAGGTCTAAAAAGTAAGGCCAATGTAGCCTTGGGGGATTATTCTCTGTTCAGTTTATTCAATTTAAATATAAAAAGCGATTTAGTGATTGAAAACAGCAACTACAGATTAATGCAGCTTTAATGGTCTTTCTTTATTCTACTACTTTGCAGCAGTTTTTTCATAGAACTTACCATACCCCGACGGGTTCAAATGTTCCCAGACATCCACATCTATTCTTTGTCCACATTGTCCCAAACCCTGAATGAGCTGCTGTAAAGGGAAGTCAGCATCCATACTTGGGTAGCACCTCAGACCGGTGGAGCACCTTGGCAGATAAACCCCACAGAGCTCTCCCACCTGCCGGGCACACACCGGACAGCAGCCGCAGCCTGGCTCCCTCACAATCTCTGCACATAGCGGATCGACTTTGGTGCATGCCATCATATCCTCTGCGGTGCAGCTTGGGCATCGGAAAGCTAAATCACAGAGTAAGAGTCCAGGCAGCCCAACATATGCAAAAAGCAAACCGTATAAGAAGTACATGCCCATTATAACACTTGCTAGGTTTGTTAGTGACCACTAAAGGTAAAATGACCCTACAGCATGAACCTCTGGATCCTCTGACAGTCCTCTGTGTTTGGGTAAACACTGTGGTGCCGCTGACAGGGTCCTATCTGCTCTCATATTACCAACTGACTGAGGAGAAAGAAGTCTTTTTTACCCCCTGAAAATATCAAAATATAAATCCCTGTTGATAAGAAGGTTCAGAAACTGAAACTGTTGCTTTCAGGTGCTATAATGTCACTCACTACAAGATTACCAGAAAGGAAAATTTTCAACATTTGTGCTTTTCCATTTCACTCCAATTGCACCATCTACATGTCCTTACTAGCAAAGTCCAACCAGATGTTTCCTGGGAAATGTTAAAGTCAATGCTCTTTTTGTGATTTGGCTCCCTCACTTGCTGCGTGTCAGTTAGCACTCAGTTAAAGGTAAGACTAAGGAGCCAAAAGTGCTCTTTTTCCCCCCTCAGTAGCTCAACCATTTTACCTGCACACAGCACAGCTTGTATTATTTTCATTGTGTGTGTGTCATCAGGGCAGAAAGCAGCCCTTCTGACATCTACTGCAGAATTACTCAAAGGATGTTTTAACAGGTATGTAGCTAAAGTGGACACAGTCAATGTGACATGTCCCATTGGTCCACAACATCAGCTTTGAGTTGAATATGTTGAATGTTTTTGACACTGAAGCACTGAACATCCCATGCTCATGAACTCCAACTGACATGATCATCTTGCTTTAAAGTGTATCCTGCTTTTTTCTTTCCATTTTAATGGGAACCATAATTTAAACAATTACCACCATGTTGGTGAGGAAAGGAAAGGACTGTCTAAGTATTGGACAGGATGAGTAGGGACCACCCTTTTATTTTGTCTCCTCCCACAAATTCATATGAAAAGGGGCAAACCGCATGCACAGGATCTAGCCAGAAGTCAGACCCTTCAAACAAAAACTACGCAGGCTAGGAAGGAGGTAAAGTCATCTTGCTGTCTTACACTCCAGGACTCCACCCAAAGGCTGACGTCTAGTTGAACATTTTGACCATTGCAATTTTTGATTTTTAAAGTAAGATTTAACAACCAAGCGGTAGAGCTGATTCACTATAATGTACCATCACACTGAGTGATCAGTTGAACAAATTAGAATATATAATATGTTAATCAATTTATCTGAATGTATAAAGGTGTCCACTCCCTCCCATTATTACTTTCGTTGGGAAGAGATGGGAAGTGAAGCAAATGTTAGGATACTGATAAGCACCTTCCTAGTCACCTTCCTTTTTCCACCCCCAGCAGATGGTGCTGAGGGTGTACAGGTGGTTTTTAGAGCTTTTTTCCACAGAAAATATCCACCCCGTGCTTGGAAATGAGGCTGGTGTGAGTAGCAAATAACAGGGCTGTAAAAACGAATGCAGTTGGCTGAAAGCCAGCGAAATACCCAGTAGGAATACAAAGAATTGCAGATTCAGGTGAAAATGATGTGATTCCTTTTCACAAAGAAGAGTGATTTAAGCTGCTGATTGAATCTAAAAATGCAATATTAAAGTAAACTTGAGCATTTGCAGTTTAAACAGGACAAGTCCTCTGCTATTAACAGTAAAACTATGAGTGTAATTGTAGCACCACACCGGTCAGTGGCAGGTATTCACAGACATGACTGAGACGCCATGCCTTTAATTACACACTGATTAATGTGACCGCTGGACACCGGATTCATAATCAGTCCCAGAGCTTCATGCGCAGCCACTGTTTGATAAAATTAAGGTTGAACAGAGTCCTGGGTTTTGCTTCGGGCCTATTTGGTGCTCTCTGGAGTAATCAAATAATAATCTGCTCCACGGATCTGCTGCAGAGCCTGCTTCTCCAAACCCACAGAGAACATTGCAGATAGCCATTTATTTCATAAACCTTCACTTGCGATGATGTAGGTGTGTGTGTGTGTGTTCCTTCTAGAGATTCATGTGCAGAATATTAATACAGTACATTTTGTTGGATTTTTATGCTTTCTTTTTCTGAAACTAATTCTAAATTCTGCATTGTCATCAGCCTCGTGTGTATAGTTTTCTATCAGTATCCTCCTAAATATCAGCCTCCTTTTCAGTTCTGTCCTTTGAATTTATCCATGACTGAGGGAAATAACCGACTCTGGAAAATGTGACCACCTTCTGTAATATTCCATTTGTCTCAGCTAAATGACTCTTTGGGAGATGGATCTTTCAGGAGCCCAGTTAAAATATCTCTCAGCGCCGTAATATCAGGTTGTTCCGCTTAAAAAATTAGACATCCCGACATTGTTCAGCCGTCGCCCATTCATTCAGAGTTGCTAAGCAGCACGTACACACAGAATATCATCGTATTGAGGAGTGGTCGTAAGAAAACATTTCCATTTCAGGAACAGTTTACCAAGCAAACAGAGTACACAGCAGGTAGACACGGTTTAGTTAACGTTGTGCGTCTTTTAAAGACGGCGCACGTGCTGTTTGGATAGCGTCTCTCATGAAACGGAGTGGAAAATGTTTTCACAGATAAACCCAGGAGAAGAATGATGATGAGAGAGGTGGGAGGTTCGGGAGACAGAAGTTGACAAAACACTTTTTCCACACATTTGTTATGTACATAACCAACACTCTTATATTTTTTTAAGGTTCTGTGACAAACTGGTATTTGTGTTAAGTTGCTTTGAAAGCTGTATGGGAGGAAATGTGATGATTTAAAGACACAGACAATGAAAAGGATGTCATCACCCAAATGGTAATGGTGTAGGAAAAATTGTGTATATTAAAGACCCGTTTAGCAGTTTGCTATACTGTTATCACTTAACATTTACTTTTAAATAAATGTGACTCTTATTTTATCAGATAAATTCAAAGATTTCTAATAGTAATTGAATCCTACAAGGCACACTGTAGAGTCCCCATTTACACTTACTGACACACATATTCATTGACGATTTATTCTGTGTTGTTTTTTGCCTGTCACATGTACATCTGATGGCTTCACTGCCGGGAATATCTTCCCTACAGGCAAGCCAACACACACGGATCAAACTGCTGACCCTCCAGTTAGGTCACTCAGTAGATGATCTGCTCCTAAGCCACAGCCGCATAGTAAGTGTTGTTATGTACAAATATCAAATGAGCCAGTCAGATGGAAACAGCTGAATGTATTTAGTAGGGGTGCAACGATACGGTTCGATATTTTTTCGATACAAAAAAATGTTCATGCTTTTTTAATTTATCATTTATTAAAATTATAAATATATAATATTTAACTCAAAAGGACAGTTTTTAAATTTAATGTTGCTGAAACAACAAAGTAATAAAAAAATTTATCTATCTGATCGAGAAATCACTCATCTTTGGAAAAGAGAGTTTATTACAGAGAAATGGCTCTTTCCAAAATAAAAGCTATACTATACACCTCTTCTGGGGTATACTCTCAGCAGCATATTAAACATATCAGGTCCCCATAAGGAGAATCATGTGCTAACGGCTGTCTAAATGACTCGGGTAAAGTTTGTAGCATGCGTGCTTGTTGTTTTTGTCTGCCTCCACTTGTCTTTGCATTAGGATGATGTCGGCGTAAATGTGCAGTCATATTCGTTGCGTTCCCACTAGTGCTGTCAGCGTTAAATTTGAAATGACGTTAACGCCACAACAGGGCAAATCTCTGTTAACGAGCTACCGCGGATCGCCCCGTGCCTGGGGCTGGACGGCCAACACGTTACCGAGCTAACTGCGCTAACGCAGTAGTTCCCACCCATGTAACTGAGCATTGCGTGGCACATCCGACATACTGTTTTACTTTTGTCCATGACGTGCTTACCTTCAGGGTCATACTTCACATGAAGACCAAAATAGTTCCAAAGGCCAGATCTGAATGAGGGTGGGGGAGGTTCAATTTGCCATGTTGCAAGGAGCTTAGCTTCTGTCTTGCTAGCTTGCGCTGCGCTCAGTGGATCTGCGCTCGACAGTGCAGCCTAGGCGGAGTAGTCGAACGCAGATCCACTGAGCACTCAACACAGACAGCATTGCCAGAAGAAAAGTTGATAAAATAAATAAAAAATTTTGTATTGTTCGATACATATACGTACCGAAAGCACTGTATCGAATGGTTCAATATCAATACGAGTATCGTTGCACCCCTAGTATTTAGGCATGTAGATGTGTTTAAGACCACCTGCTGAAGTTAAAATTGAGCAATGGCAAAGAAAGGTGATTTAGGTGACTTTAAATGTGGCCAGACGGGACGGTCAGAGTATTTCAGAAACTCTCTGAAAAAAAGAAAATACCAGTGAGAGGTATTTCTCTGGGTGAAATGACTTGTTGATGCCAGAAAAGTAATTTCACCCAGCTGCCTTCCTATCTCGCAGAAAAACAGCAGGAAACCACACCGGGCGGCACTTTGGTCAGCTAAGAACAGGAAACTGAGGTTACAATTCACACTGCCTAACTAAAATTGGACAACATGAGATTGGAAAAAATGTTGCCTGGTCTGAGTAGTCTCAGTTTCTTCTGCAACATTTGGATGGCAGGGCAGAATTCATGTAAACAGATCAAAACATGGATCGACTTTGCCTTTTATCAAGAGTTCAGAGTGATGTGTAATGAAGTACTAGCATCAGTTAAATCCCAGACACTACCATCTTCTGATGGCTGCTTCCAGGATAATGCACCAGAGCTCAAACTGGTTGCTTGAACATGACAATGAGTTCACTGAACTCAAGTCATCTTCACTGTAATGAGTCCAACAGAGAAACTTTGGGATGTCGTAGAACGTGTAGATTCACATCATGGATGTGCAGCTCTAAGATATTTGCTCAGATGTGCTTTAAAGTGAATTAGAAAATATCAGTACTAAAATGTACTTGGACAGAGTGGCTGGCAATTTCAAACAAAGAATATTTGATATACCAGCTGTTAAGTGAAACCTAGTACTTTTGCCACCATGCAGCATGCACGATGGTTGAAAAAGAAAACGCAAGACCCTTGTAATGCAAGCGGGGTGTGGTTGTCCCTCTTCATATTGTAATTCAGGCCATAAAATTGGAAATGTTCTCATCAGGGTTTCAGAGTAATTCCCTGCATTGTTTGCCACGAAGGTTCTGTTACATTACCTCAGAGGGGCTTCAAAGTCAAAGCTATTCCACACTTTGTGGCTTTAATCAAAAGCCAAACTATTTTATTACCAATAGTGTTAATATGAAGCTCAAATGTGTTTTACATACAAGCCGGTGATGACGTAGTGGCATTAGACTTTCTGTAACCTAGACACCAAAATATTTCAGTTTGATATTTCATATCTTATCTCTCAACTTACATGATCTATTTGACAGGCCAGTAGCATTTCTTTCAACCACTGGTCCAACAGTGAATGCTTTGTTCCAGGATAGAAGGCCCTGACAGACATTACTTCATACACCCAGACCAGCTAAGTTGAAGCATGTTACACAAGGAGCGACACTGACGTCACGCTGGAGCTGCAACGCAGGCCTGGAAGCCCTAACTAGCATCCCTGGGTCAGTCAAAGAAGAGGAAATATCTTTCTCATGTCATAGGCGAGAAATTTCCCATGCCCTGTCTCCAAGAGGTGCAACATACGCTCCACACATGACAGTGTGTTAAGCCACCATTACATCATGTGTGACTGTGTAATAGGCATTCATACACTTTTGCTCCAGTACTGACAATAAAATCCTACAATCCTCCTTTTTCAATTATTCTAGCAAAGCTAAACATGTTAACATCACTTTTAATGATCTTTTTATGTGCTGCAAATTTTCATCAGCCAAAACATTAAAACCCTAATGTGTTGGGCCGTTTTGTGCTGCCAAAACATCTCTGAGTTCTTCAGGTCATGGACAGGACCCAAGATCTCTCTGGGGGTGTCGCATGGTGTCGAGCACTGGGATGCTGGCAGTTGATCCTTTGGATTTAGTGGACTCTGTTTTGGGGCATTGTTACATTCCCCAGGCAGTCCTGGGAGAAGAAGGGAGAGACTGGGGTAAGTTGCTCCAAGGGGCAAGATTAGCCATGCCTGCTAGCTGCCTCTTTCCAAGAGAAAGATGGTAACTGGCGCCATCTATGCCTTACCCTTGATCAGATTTAGAGGATTCTCTTGCAAAAATCATCCTCCAGATGCAGGTAAAGGATTTGCCATACAGCTGAATTCTCCATAGCATCTAGTAGCCTGATAACAACAGTCTACTAAGATAGTATCAAAATCAATTCTGCCAAAAATTAGGTCGTGAAAAGTTGTTCTCAAAATATCAGATGATGGCCACCATTCCACCCCTTCATTCCAAAAGTATTATTGACAAAATTACTACAATTTATTCTCATTATTGACACAATATTTATATTTCACTTTAAATATGATTGTTATATATGCAATGAAATTCTGTTTAACTTTAGTACCACATTTATTGAATCCCACTAATCATGCATTTAACAATTTTTTGATGTATGGGGGTTTCTAGAGTCTACAGCACCAGGCAGTACAGAAGACAGTTCTGTGTGCAAAAGCAACACAAAATTACCTGCCACTGTCGTTTTGATATTGTCGGTTATATGATACAACCAATATCTTTGTAAATGGACTGGAATTTATGAAGCCTTTTTCACCATTACTCAAAGCCCAAAGCAAGGTACTTCATGCTGTTAATACCGTTTTTATTGATTGCTCGCTAATGGAAGCAGTGAATGCATATTGAATTTCACAATCTTACTCAATTAACTTTTATTTGTATACAAACAACCAAAACGACAGTAGCCTCAAGACCCTTTGACACACAGGCTGGAGGATCCAGGGATCAAAGCTAACAGCCATCCTTGAATTTGGGAGAAAAGTAGCTACGTTTAAGACAGTCTAAGGAGCTTGGAAAGAAAAGTGTCTGGACTTCTTTAAGTTACTTAAAGATGTTTCACCTCTCATCCAAGAAACTTTGATTTTAAGACAGGCCTCCAGTAAATGCTCTATATAAGCAAAGCCAAGTTTCTGGTTGCAACTGTGAAGATGTATGTCTTGCCAGTGCAGGGTTCTCATACTTCTTTTCCATTTAATCATCACGTGGTGTGCAGCCAGTTCTGTCTTGCTGCCTTTTGAGAACCAGCTTATATTTCAACAGGTTTGAGCACTGAACACGTTACGTAGCATTATGCTGGAAAAGTTGGGGTAATTTTATGGGAAGAAAAATAAAAAAAAACAGAGACAGTGCAGGGATGAACTTCACCTGCTTCCAAGATGCCAAGGAGAGGAAAGTCTGAAGAGTGTAGAACACTTAGTGGTATATAAAGCAGCGTTACTGTTTTACTGAAGCGTTGAGCATTGTGGCCTTCATCAGGGTCTTCATAAAAACATAATGTAGGAACCATTTTGAAATAGCAGAGGTAAACTATAAATTTGGCTCTAGATTGGGGATCTAAAGGCAGCTCTAAGCAGAGTTAAAACTAACAGATCCCAAGCATAAAGCTTGGGGTGTGTTGGAGTTGGAAATAACAAATTTCCTCTGATTGTGAGTCTCTTTCAGTTTGTGTGTGCTGACTTTGCACACACAAACCCACCCCTTAATTCCTACCCCACCCCACCCCCCACTGCTGGGAAGCTGGATAAGAATATGATTTAACACAAAGCATAAACATTTACGTTAAATATGTGTCTGTGGTGCCTGTGCGCTGGCTTCTTGACTCTTAGAGTTTTGCTAAAGTCTCTCTAGGGGGGCTCTGACTGGAACACGCCTTTGGGTAGCATGGGAACAGGCAGGCTTGGTCTGGGAAAGGGAGCAGGCTGTTCATTTCTGTTGCACAATCCAATTAGCTCCGAGTTCCACCGATAAGAAACAGCACCAGATCACTACAGAAGCTTTGTGTGAGAAGTCGTGCGTCTAATAGCTGGCTGGTAAACAATCGGCAGCATCTTCAACAGGTTCCGCTTTCACCAGGGATCTACGACAGCTGGTTAACAACAGAGGTACGTGACTGTAGAACTTTTTATCTTTATAGGTTTGGGGTTTCGTAAAATGATTTACAAGTGTTGGCTGGATGGATCGCCGCATAGGTTGTAAAACCAACTGCAATATAACAATTCGTGCATTTACATCACTGACAGTATATGTGCTTTTATAGAGGGACAAACATCACATGTGCACATAAGAGAGGAAAATACAAAGAGAAGAAAATGCTTTTCAACATTCCATGGCAACATCTGTTTTCAATTTTTCCTCCCACGAGATAAATTCATTAGTTTGTGGGAATGTCCAGGAAGCAGATGGACATCATGTCTTCATACACATCCTTTTTCTTTCCTTTTCTTTCAAGGTGTATGCTTGGGATTGAGGTGAAAGTTGGAACTTTAAATGTTAAATGTGTCTACCTTTTAAATGCAGACTGACAAAATAGGAAAGGGTCTCTTTTCTTTGTCTTTGTTATTGTGCATCATAACTAGAAAATACAAGAAATGTCAAATGTGGAAACCATTATGTGCATTTCAAGGAATTAACACTCCAGTGAGGGGAGGAAGCAGAGAAAACAAAACTGAATATTCAGCTGGAGAAAGTGTCATTTTGTAAAGCTCAACAAGACAAATTAACAGAATAAAAACAGAATGGAGAATTTAGGTTTGTAGGGAGCTGAGGAGTGATCTGACTATCCCTACTAGCAAAAACACACATGCACAGTAGGCACATTGTTACAAAATCCCCATTTGAAAACCATCTTGCATTATTAATGTTATTTTAGCTTATCACTACTTTGTCAGCAGTCATTTCAACTGCATGAAGCAAATTGGTCCTAAAAAATAATCTCGTAAAAAACGTTGAAAAGGAAAACCCAGTCTGTTTGCACAGTTGCTGAATGGTGGGATTTATGGGACCGTGACCCCAAGGCCCTGACAGACAGCGGGGAGGAAAACAAAATGTGGGAGAAAGGAAATGGATCACTTATCAGAAGCAAACCACAACTAACAAGTGTAGATGACCCACCACCTAAAAAATGTCAAAACCACTGCAGTGTCAGGAACACTACCTGTCTTATGAGTGCTGTCAACAGCCCTTAAGCCACTGTGTGATCTTCAGAAGCTGCAAGTAAGCTACACAGGAACCGTGTAACCAAATACCCCTTCTTTCACAACTTGGACTTTCTCAGGGGACTCGATATGAGCCAGAGACAGCAAGACTGTCTGTTGGTCTGTGTAAAGGTGCCTGATAACGTGAAGGAGCCAAGGTGGTCGGAGACTTTGCTGCAAAAAAAGTGAGAAGTGTCACGCTGGTGCAGATGGCTCCGTCAAGGAAGTTTGAAAACACCTGCACTCTGTGCATGCTGAGGATGTAAACCAGTGGTTGTTCGGTGTATTAATGAATTCTCAAAACAATCTTTTAATAGATCATGCTGACTGCTTACCTGCTGGCAATCTTCTTCATCTGCGCAGGTAAGTGTAGTCAATCACACAATCATTGCAGACCAAAAATGAGAACTTAAAAGGTATATTTGGGTTAGAGGAATCTTTTTTTTTTTTTAAAGTTTTTATAGCTAAATGTATCAAGACAGACAAAACAGCAGTTATTCACAACAGGAAAATGGGAGCGTTTCCAGTTTTTTTTTTTTTTTAAATGGGCCGGCAAAGGAGAACCTCGGGTGGCAGAGGGGGGCTGGGTTGGGGGTGGAGATGTCTCACAGGGACAAATAAAAGCATCTGGAAGTTCAATGAGTTCTAATAATGTTAATATGCTCCACAAACATGCATTAGATGTAGCTGCTTGTAGCAATGTTGGAGTCACACTGAAGGGCAAAGGGAGCTAACGGAGCTAATAATATATTTCAGTTTTACTGCATGGTCTATCAACACATATTTGGCTACAGTTTGCAAAGTGAAGGAGTAAAGGGGGCACAATTAAACCAGCAGCATTCACTGCATGCAATATTATTTATCATTATACTCCTATGGCAGTTGTACCTTTCGTTTTGTGCGATTTTCAACAAATTACACAACATCAGAAAAGATTTTCAGCTAGAATATTTCATTCATTTCATCTGCATGCATATATTTGCAAGATTCAGTGAAGACAGAATTATTTGTCATATAAAAAAGGGGTGTGAATGAAGTTTCCTTTATGGACACCACATGAACTATAAATATAATTTAAATAAATAAATATAAATATAGAGACCCTGAAAAGCTGAAGATGGAAGATTTTTACGTTTATGTTTTCAAATTGGGGAATTACAAGATATATCCAGGCCTGATACATCCTCTAATTCACAAGAACCCTTCATTACATTTAACTGAAAGCCAATTTGAATCCAAATTATTACAAAAAAAAATGAACAGGCAAACAGTGGTGTTTCTAACATTAATATGCGCTATCCTGAATTGAGTCAGCAGTGCTGACTCTCGCCTATGTTGTGCAATGTCATTTTCTTCAGGAATCACAGCAGAAGCTGTCCGTCCACCATGCAACGAGGACCTGTTTGACATCAATGTTGACAACTGCCTGTTGGATTTCAACAAAAGCATGGAGACAAGTGACTATCAGAACATGTGCCCGTGGCCTATGGTTCAAAGGTAAATGTTAGGCTCTTCTTTTCTTCTTTATTTGTTTATTTTTTAAATTTAGCTAATATAAAGCTGTCGGGGGTTTTTTTCTGTGTGTTTATATAAGAGAGACAAATGAGTTATATTTAACTGGACAAGAGGCTCCCATGAGTTTCCAAGACTTGAATGAGTGGTGTGTGATTAACCAAGCATTAATGCATGAGTCTGTGCTGAGCTCAACATGAGTGAAAACACAGGAAGGCTGGATAAAGATCCAGCCTTCCTGTGTTTTCACTCATTGAACTCTACAATGAAATACAGACACTTCTTTTTACTGCCTTTTCAGTAAAGACGTATAATAACCTTTAGTCATGGGAAAATCAGATGCTTTCCAGTCTCCTCATTACATTTGATGCCGGTCGAAGTTTTAATTACTCATATTCTAATGAAAACATGTGAGACCATTGCTCTTGGGCTCATATTTCCAGACAGCAGTTGTTTCTGGAGACTTTAGTCTTTGCCGTGCTACCTGGAGTGGATGGCAGTGGACTTTAATTATGACTGTAATAATCCATATTTTACTGTCAGCATAATTTGGGAGATGAGGTACCGTAGAGTTTAAATGGTGTGTAAGGGTGGAGTGTCCATCGTCACAAGGAGCCTTGCTTGTTGATCAGGCTTCTGGCTGTCAGGTTCAATTGAGCCTCGGTGGATTTTTTCCACACTAAAATTTTGCAGCGACATCTGGTTGCGAGATTTATGTTTGTTTAGAGAGGCTACGGTTGCTTCTCTGCCCCGAGGACGTGACAAATTAATGCTTAAACTTGAAATGTAAGCTGCTGCCCAAACATCAGCGGGTAATTTCTCCATTTATAAAAATCTTGAAGACACTCAGGCTGTTGATGTTTTTGGCTTTGTGCGCCTATAAACAAGGCGCCTATAAGTGCAATGCAACTGTGTGACATGGATCTATGATCATGCCAGGTGAACTGAGGCAAAAAGCATGGCTTCTATTCATCTGCTGTTGTTTGTTCATGCTACATCCTACTCAGCACAGTCATATGTTCCCATTTTTTGAACCAGTGCACCTGTACATTTCACTGGCATCAGGATATTTTAATAGTGTATTTGCAAGAAATAAACAATGTTTATATTATTTGGTATCTTATGGCTGATTTTCCCCTAATGATAAATGAAAATGTGATGATGACCCATTTAAAATGCATTAATGGTGGGTTCTGAAAGAGGGTTGGTCTGTCCTGATGATGCCAAATAAATAATTCATGCATACCTGATCTTTTAATTTATTAATAAGTCTTTACTCAGTTATCCCATGAAATGAAGGTCTGTTTGCAGACAGTTGGGTGTGTTGTGGTCAGTAGAACACACATAACAGCTCTGTTGCCTGGCAATACTGTTAGCTAAACGGGAAACAGGAAGCTGAAATGTTAAGGCCTCAGTCACCCAGGTGGAGAGACTGATCGGTGACCCTCTGACAACCACAATGTGTATCCCTCTGCTAGTCGCTAGGTGAAAATGGTTGCAAAAATGCTACTGCACCAAAAACTTCCATGTGATTACTTTGGTCACTAGCAGATTGTTGCCATTGCCTGCCGTTTGCATGGAAGACACAGACTTGTGTGCAAATACTTACCAACTACTGAGCAGCAGTGAACCTTTTTATGAAAAGGTGGCGTGTTTTATGAAAGCTACAGGCGACTGCAGCAATCTGCAATCGTGGAAAATAACTTTTTCCCTAGTGACTTGTGGTTTCCAAGGATTCACCGAGCAGATTAAGGCCCAACTCTTAAAGCTACATGTATGAATAATGTCGAATGTGCTGACGTGGAATCTGATTCTCAGCCTACAGATTCATGCTGTACATATTTCACACACCCTAAAAATGTTACAAGTGAAATTCTTTACCGCCTGAGTAATTTTGAGTCACCTTGACTTTAGTCTCACTCTCTTTCTCTGCAGCAACTACAACAAATTGATGACATGTGTGGAAGACTGGGCTAAGAAAACTCGGTGTTGGGGTTATGGATTTTTGGTACATGAGATTTACTTGGAGGTCCACCAGACGTACTTTTCGCTATGTGGATACGTTCGTGACCCCCCACTCTTCACTCTCATCATGTTAATAGCACCGTGTATTATTGTCACACTTTTTCTGCCTCTTATGTGTGTTCACATCGCCCCCAGGGACACATAAATACCCAGCGAAGGAAAATTGGAATCTTTTTTTAGCCAGTGTTCTGACAGTGCTAACTGTGCTTGCTACCTCTGTTGCAGAGATTCAGGAAATTCATCCTGGAAGAAGACACTTCAAGCTAATAAACAATCATTTTACATAAATCAGAAAATACATTTTCTATTCAATGAAGTAGTGAAAACGCCTGACTACTTAAGTTTGGTTGGATAAGTATCTTGGGCTGTTCACAAAGAGTTTCATGATCCAAAAGACTGCAACGGAGAGGACAACTGTACAACTGAGACTCTTTTGGACCTAAATGTATTCATCCAAGCAGACAAATTGCAGGGGAGCTTATAAACGGGTGTCGTAAATTGAGCAACAATGACTGCAAATCCCCCAAAGGTCACGTTTGGTGGAACAAAGCAAAAATCTCACCTGTTTTAAATATTCCCCTGTCCCCTTCAGGATCCCTGTGCACCTCTGCACCATTTCCAGCGCTCTGGCTGTTTTCCGATCTCTCTCTCTGGAACTCCTCCTCTGATCACTTGTATGTCCTCCCTTTTGTTAAAACAACAACACTTCCAGCCTTAAATTTAATATTTCGAGAAGAATGTCAGAGAACAACATTTAGTGACTAGTGACTGACATTATCTCCAGTCACCATCATAGTGTTGGTATGTGGCTTTCATAGTGTCAGCACACAAAGCATCCACTACAGGTCGGGTCCTTTTTGACAAATGCTCTCATGAGACACCTCAGATTTTTACAAAAGACACTCTTGACCTTATGTGCTGCCTCTGCACTTGGACAGTTTTTATTTTTTTCACCAAAAATTGTATTTCTAAAATGTTTTTTCGTTTTATAAATCATCATTATGACCTGTATAGAGTGAGCCAGACTAATTACAAGTGCTGGAAGCCGTCCCGAGGTCCCACAAAGGCAGTCTTGAGGGGGACATTGGCTAAATCTACAAAGCTATGTTTTTTATGTTTGAGTTCCAAAACCATAATGCACAGAAAACAACAACATTTTACAGGATTTTGTCATCCAACTGTAAAATTATAGGAGATATTTTACTATTTAAAAAATAACATTGTTTTGAATATTACCCTCCATAAACAAATATGAACACAACTGGAGGAAATCTATGAAAATGTAACCATTTTATTGTTGTAGTGATTTTTCCCTGCAAAGGTCAAACACTGTATTTCTCTGTGACTTGTTTGGTAAATATACAGTACATATTTATCACATTATACAGTCTGTAAAATGAACATACACTGAGCACTTACCTAATGAATGTTCTTCACTTCCATTATTCTTCCATGTGTGGCAGAAGTAATCTGGTTTATACTGTAATCGTTTTTATGTTGACAGAAATAAAAACAATTCCATTTGTATTTGAAACACATAATAAATATTTATTTCAGACAAAAAAATAATGCTTTACAGTTTTTTGAAAACCTCTTTGTAGCCATAGCAAGACAGACCTGCTATTAAAGTATTCACATGACCTAAGTGTCATCTACAGATGCAAACATACTGCATTTAATTACTTTTTCATCCAATTACTACTTAAAAGGACTGTTGTGCAGAGCTCATGCAGAAAACTGTGTCAGTAAAACAATGTAAAGATCCATTAGGTGTTTTGGGGGGATTTCAATACTTGAATAATTTTATGGTTCCTTGTAATCTGCAAAGGATGCTAGCGTTCTTAATCTGACTGAGGATCAGTTGCCCAGCAAAAAAACAGAAAGCAAGTTGAATGTTTTAAGCCAAAGGGGAATTTTCTCAAGAATCGGTGGGTAAACTAGAGACTGTTCAGATCCAGGAGTGCCAATTGGTGATATTATGTCTAATAAGACTCTAGCATCATTTATGCACAAGGTGTTTTTTGGTATTTGTTACCTGATGCACCCGGTTAATTAAATAAGTGCCACTTCAAACTCCTTGTTCCCCAACATGCAGGTAAAGTTACCAAGTAGCGCCTAACTCTAATAAGCAAATTTAAGCGAAATTTGCTAATGCGGGTCTCTAAAACGGGACCATTAATTGTCAGCAGGTAATCTTGCCACCAAAAACACACCTTGTGCATAACAGGGAGTCCCAATTAACTACTGACCCCGCTGATCATGAGACTAGCTAGCTGTTGTGTGTTGTAGAGTTCTTTGGTCTGGCTCTTATTAAAACCTTGCTAAATGCAGCTTACACCGTGCTGGGAGAAACGTATAGTCGTTTTGTCTTTCGTGGATCAGTCACACTAGAGCAAAAACAGTCCTTATGATTAAAAAAAAACAACTGGTGGTTGATGTGATTTCATGGAACTTTGTTGCTGTCAAAGACCAAGTGCAACTACTGGGGTCGACCAACTGGTCACCCAGAGGTTGAGTGGGTGACGCCCTCAACCTCTGGGCGACCACTTTCAACTGGAAGGCAGTTGCACAGGTTGCCAAGTGGAGACAACTTATTCGTGGTGGGAATGGGACTCACTGTAATCACTCTCAGACTGGCAAAGGTTTTCAAATAATCATTGCGTATTTTGTAAGCACAGAAAGAGTTGGTCTGTGCAGATGAGTGCAACTCGACTGTGACAACTCCTTGCAATACGGGACTCGACTCAAGTGGTTGCTCTTAAGAAAATATCAGTATTACTGCATTTCCTTGTAGCAGTTATTCTCGTTTCACATGTATCTGATTTATAGTTATATATAGTCAAACCGAGTACACTATTCAATATGCTAAAGACCCAAGCTTGTCAGATGTCTTCACTCAAGCTGATGACAGTGGATTAGTCTTGGTTCAAAAATAACAGAGCTAAGTCTTAGAATTGGGTGGGTGGCCTGGCCTGCTACCACTGAGGCATAAGGTGACGAAATGAGGTGACGTGAGAACGTTGACATGACAGAGTTTTCTTTCAGGGTCAGAAAGACCAGAACGATTTTTCTTTACATCTCGTGTGTTCTGACATCCAACACCAGACAGGACCAAGAGGCAGCGCCACACCTTTTCTTATCTTAATAATACCCACAATTCCACTTTTTCTCTTGTGTAAATACTGAAAGGATGTTTTGGTAAGTTTGCTGGTTCTTTTTAGGCTGTGGGCTCCACAGACACAGCAGCTCGTGTCACACACACCCACTTGTATCGGGCATACACCTCAGAGCCTCTTTCATCATCACAGGTCGAATCAGCACAGCATTGTTGACAAACAACAACTTTGGCTAAAAAATGAACTATCAAAGCTTTCACTGCATATTTAGTTATTAATGGCACCAACAAGGCATTTTACTTTAAAAAATAAAATCTTTACCCCCCTTTTGATTCTCATGTTCTCAGCCACTCACAGCTGGCTGAACAGCATCTACTCTTAGTCTCTCATAGTAATGCACTTAGTGCTCTGTGTACAACTAACATTAGTGTGTGCTTTTTAGGTATGGAAGTTAAATATTGACAAAACTATTAGACATAGAACAAATGTAAGCTTTCAACAAACTATTAAACAATGTTAGTCTGCCTGAAAAGATTTATAAATGCTTTTCATTTTCTAAATAAAACTATTTAGAAAATGGTCACTTCATTAGGTACACCTTGCTATTAACAGGTTGGACCCAATTTCGCCTTCAGAGCTGGCCTAATCTTTCATTGCACAGATTCAATTAGGTGGTGGAAACATTCCTCTGAGATTTTTGGTTCAGACTGACATGATAGCATAGCTTTGCACAGTTACTGCAGATTTGTTGGCTGCACATCTACCATCTCCCATTGCACTGCATCCCAAAGGTGCTCAATTAGAGTGATAGCTGAACTCTAGTTTAAGATCACTTGAGCTTTGTGACATGGTGTGTTAGCCTGCTGGAAGAAGCCAGCGGAAGATTGGGACATTGGGGTTATAAAGAAATGGACATAGGAAGCAATAATTCTTTGGTTGGCCGTGGTGTTTAAAAATGGTCATTACACATTGTTTTTGCCACAATACCATCCAAATGCTGCTTGCTAAATTTCTTTTGGACTCACAGACTACAACTAGCAAGTACAGCTTTCAGGGTGACAACTACAGTGGAAGGTAGTCCAGGTTATTTCAAATGAACTGTCGTCCTTGTAAATGAGATGAATACAAACTGAAAAAATTGTCTGTAAGGCAGAAAATATGATGGATGGTTGCTTACTCAGGGCAATCTAGAGTTTACACTTTTTAAATTTGCACAATATTAGAATAATTCTAGGTTACAAAAAATACATAAATGTCACAAAAAATGAAGAGTTAAAAAAAACCCCAAAACATCAACAACAAAAATAGTTTTTTCATTTTTTTTGCAAAATTATTTGGCAGTGCGCTTTCTAACATGGTGACCACTCATAGTTGTGTCATTAGTGAACTTCCATAAATCAAGTTCCTGCCCCTAAAAACACACTCAGTAAGAGGCAAACATTCAATAATGTCACGACTACGGATAGGGGTGGGTATAATGAAGAAAAGACCTCACTGTCTCTGCCCTCAGTTTGCCATTCCAGTCTCTGTAAACTCCTGAAACATAAACACATGGTTGAAAAGGTCCATTAATAACGCAGCCCATTTTAAATGAAACTGCTACAGAGTGCTAATTCAAAGCACATTGTGTTACTCATTAACTCGGGGAGCTGCAGAATTAAATACAGACTGCAGCAGGTGTACGCTTCACATCAAAGTGGAGCTTCAAGTGCAGGCCTACAGAGAACAATCTAGGGGGGAAAGAGAGATTCATTTACCGTTAAACTTCTATGTCACTTCACTGGAGTAAACACATAATTCTACGCACTTGACCTCTTTTTCCTACATTGTACAACATAAAAGCCGGGACTGTAAGCCATAGATTTTTACATAGCAAGCGCCGGATTGCCCTGACCGCTTTATTTACACAAAGAGGCAACAAACTAAAGGCTGGGGAGCAATATTTACAGATCAAAGGTCAGTTTCCCCTGAGACTGAATCTTTGCATGGCTCATAATATAGGGCATGGTTATGTGAAATAAGATGAATAACAGTACATTGCTGACCATTTAAAGTATGTTTATAGTGGGGTTTTGGCCTTGTTTGCCAGTAATTTATAGAAACCTCTTCAGCTGCCAAGCAGTCTCTCTCTCTCCTAACTTACTATGCACGGTTTTCTTTTAAAAGGTTCATAGACTAAATGTTAGCAGTAGATACATTTTGGTAGTAACACTGCAAAGAAACAGACTTTCATGTTGAATTAACCTTTTTGCCAAGCATCCCCCAGAGTGAGGAATTTGGGTTTGGGTTCAATCATCTCTGCTGTTCTTTTCCACTTTCACTGAATGTGATCAAAGAGTGTGCCATCAAGATATTGTAAGAAAAAACAGCAGACAATTGCTGACTTTCTGCAGATATCCACCCAGTTAGAATCCCCAGGACTCAGCTGACGCTTCCCGAGTGTGTCAGTGATGAAAGCAAGGGAGCCACCGAATGCAAACATGGAAAAAGACCAGAACCCAATGTGCTCACTTTTTTTGTTGCATTCAACAACTCCCGTCTATTTAAAATCAATAAGAATAAACTTTATAATCCTAATGTTTGGTGAACCAGACGGTGAATATCCTCAAAACATCTAAATGTGAAGCTTCTTCTTTCAGTTCCTAAGCTTTTAATTGCTGACCGTAAACAGACCATTGAGCCAAATATAGTAAAATCCCACCAATTTCCAACACTAATTAATAAATTAGTTTTATCTTTTTGTTGTTTTATGTACAGCAGCTGTTATGTGTTTCTGTGTAGCATGAAATAAGAAAGGCTTATGAAAATGTGCATGTGTCAAAACTACACTTTATTAGGTACACCTTAGGTAGTACCAGGTTGGACCCCCCTTTGAGATCTGGTGGAGGGATTTTGAGGTTTTTGGTCTTCTGCTGTTGTAGCTCATCCGATTCAAGGTTCAATATGTTGTTCATTCAAAGATGTTCTTCTGCATAACTTGGCTGCAATGAGCAGTTAATTTAGCTACTGCTGCCTTCCTATCAGCTCAAAGCAGAATCTCCTCTGACCTCTGGCATCAGCTATGCATTTTCACCCAGAAAGAGAACAGAATGGTCTTTTTCAGACCATTCTGTGTAAACCCTTGAGATGGTTTTGTGGGAAAATCCTAGCAAATCAGCAGTTTCGGAAATACTCGGACCAGACTGCCTATCACCGACTACCATGTCACATTTAAAGTCACTTAAAAACACCTTTCTTCCCAAATGTGATGCTTGGACAAATTTCAAGAAGTCATCTTGACCGGTCTATATGCATACATACATTACTGCAGTTGCTGCAGTACGATTGACTGATTAGATTTGCGATAACAAAGAGATGAACAGGTGTACCTATTGAAGCAGCAGGTGTCCGTTGCAATATAGGATAACTCTAAAAATAGATGGTAAATTACAATCCCAAGCTCACAGTCAGTCTGTGCAATGCAACCTTCATGCATCCTGCAAATGTTTAAATGCTCCCCAACATTTTCAGTACTATCGTGTCTGTGTTAGCCAAGTGCATTATTCATGACATCTCTTAAAAAATATACCAAATTTAGCAAAAAACTGACAGATACTTCAAATAAAGACACATTTTTCTGTTTTTAACGTGTCACTCTACACAATGTTCTTTATATTTTACACTAACTCTAACGGTAGCTTAAGCTATCCGAAATCTAAATACCACTAAGAACATGGTATAGCGTTAAGTCCAAAAGGTCACAAAATAAATAGATACAACAAAGTAGAAAAATAGGTTTAGACCATGTTAGCTATTTACTTATACATCCAAGGTCATAATAATGGGATCAGTGGAGGGCATTAATCACCTTAAAAAAAGTACAGTGGCAGCCCATGAAGAGGCACAGTCTCTAGGGGATTTTGGATTCACGGGAGACTACATTTAGAGATGAGGACTTGTGCCAGGGAGCTGGGTTGGCAGAGAAACGTGACCTTTTTTTCCTACAAGTCTGTACAGAAAGGAAAAGGACTGACTTAACTCCTTGTTTGCACACCATTGCAACCTATAGACAAAGGCAGTAATACAAAGGAAAAAGGCAGTTTAACAACAGAGGCAGTAAAACCAATTGAAGGCTTTACATTTAGAGAAAGTTCATCTGAAAACATTATTAAGTTTGATTGAAATCCTCTCCTCATTAAAGAAAATCTTTCCTTTCTCACAGATCAGTCCCAAAATAAGCCTGAAGTAATAAAGCCTGCTGCAGTCCTAAAGGTCCCCGCTATCATTGCACTTATGCCCAGAACCTGCAGACTAATTAAAGGGAGACATCAGGTAAAAAGAGTTCATATAAGTTATGTATGCTGCTAGATTTGGTATAGTCCACTTCAGGTATGCATTCAGAGCTATTTCTGTCAGGGTTAAGACATCGACACCACCACAAAGATCTAACATTAGATGTGCTTTTAAAAAAATGGATTAAATAAAGGTAAAAAGTGCTTATCCAGCTATAGATTCTGTATATTTTACAAACACCATTGCAGAAGCTCCTCTTGCTATCCAGAGACAATGAGGTTTCCAAGATTTGCTTCCTCCGATCGGTCAGACCTGCAGGGTGTAGGTGATCCTTTTAGCTGGTTCCAGCTTAAATTTATACAAGCATGTGGATCTCATTGTACTCATCTCGTCCATCTTCATCAAAGTTGGGCGAATCTTCATCACAATCCAGCTGCAAAGGGTTGAAATACCTTATTATTTTCATTTAATGTTCATTCTGGACAAATTAAGTATAGTTTAGCGCTGCCAATTAAAACAATGCTGTGGAATAAACTAGCACACTGACACCATCATTGTTTATTCATGATTTAAATACAGCAATGCATGCATTTTGACTGAGCAGTACTCTGTTAATTATACACAGCAATTAGTGCCTCTAAGATCAATGCCTGAAAAAAAATAGGCTGCTTTTCGCAAGCTAAGGCTTTAGCACAGAGCCCAAGAGACCAGCCGGCAACCATCTGCCAGTCATGTATTCCCTGACCACTTGGCAAGTGGTTGCTGAAGGTCGATGGCATTTGCTGCCACTAGGTACTCTGCTAGCAATGGTGAAATTAGGAAAAGCGTGACACAAACTGTTTTCTGGAAACAGAAAACATTAACCTTTAAAATAAAGGCTGCATCTTTTGATAATTGTTGGCTGCGGTGGCGAGGCACAACTTTTAATCTGAAGGTTTCTGGTTTGCGTATAACTTTTTCAAGGTTTACCACTGCTCAGCTATTATTGACTTTTTAGCGAGTTCAAATAGCAACGGGCAGCAACTTAAACCTAAATTAAACACAAAGACAGAAACAGATGGAAAAAGCTAGCCTGACTGTTTAAAAGTCACCAAATCTTGAAGAAGCAGACTACAGTAATGTCTATCTAATTTTCTGTGTTAATCTGCATTAGCCAATTTAGCATCACAGGTGCAGGCTTTCAAATTATGTTTAACATATAGACAAAAGTAAGACATTTTTTAAAACGTCTGCTTTTAAAAAAATATAAAATTCTTTTTCTTTATATACAGTTTAGAACTGAGTTATAGGTCGTTATTGGAAGATGTGGTAACAAGAAGAACATTCGTGAAACAATTGCAATCCCCAGTTCAAAAAAACCAAAAAAAACATTGGAATGCTGTAATTTTAAATACATAGAAAACGCAATGATCTGCAAATCTCAAACCCATATTTTGTGAACTATAGAACACAGAAAAAATACAAATGTTTAAATTGAGAAAAAAATTTACCATTTCAAGGTCATACGGTCATTTTGAGTTTGATGGCAGCAATATATCTCGAGAAAGTTGGGACAGGTACATGTTTACCACTTTGTAGCGTCTCATCGTCTTTTTACATCAGTCTGTAAATGAACTCAGGAGAGCAGATGCTGGACTTTTGGGAGAGGAATGTTGTCTCATTCTTGTCTGATAGAGGATTCTAGCTGCTTAACAGTCCTGGGCCTGCTTTGTTGTATTTTCCATCATGTTCCAAATGTTTCAGACAGGTCTTGTAAAGGTATGAAGTATGCACTTTAGCATTGTCTTGCTGAAATAAGCAAGGCCTTCTCAAAAAGACATTGTCTGGATGGTAGTGTAGTAGCTCTAAAAGTTGTATATACCCTATGGTGACTTTCCAGATGTGCAAACTAAGGCACTCATACATCCCCATAGAATCGGAAATGCAGGCTTTTGAACCAATAACCAGCCAGAGGTTCCCTCTCCACTTTAGTTCAGAGGATGCAGCGTCTATGTTGTCCAAAAAGAATTTCAAATCTTGATTCGTCTGACCACAGAACAGTTTCCCACTTTGCCTCAGTCCATTTTAAATGAGCCTTGGCCCAGAGAAGCGTGTTTCTGGATCATGTTTGCATATGGCTTCACAATTTTACACTGAGGAATATTATTCTGAGAGTGTTCCACAATTCCCTTTTATTCAGTCATGTAACCGACCAGTTGCCAGTTAACCTAATTACTTGCAAAATGTTCCTCCAGCTGTTTCTTTTTAGTGCCACTTACTTTCCCAGTTTTTTGTTGCCTTTGTCCCATCGTTTTTGAGATGTGTCAGGTTCAGACTGAGCTAGTATTTTTCTGGAAGCAAGAAAATGTAGCAACACAGGATAATGTAAACCTTTGATATGTTTTTTATATTCCCATGTGAAGAAAATATGGATTTATTTATGAGATCTGCAGATCGCTGCATTCTGTTTTTATTAACATTTTACAAACTGTTTCCACTTTTTTGGGATTTAGGTTATATTTATGGAATTATTGTAGAAAATCATTGATGGTATGTGTCAATCTTGACTAGCAAAGGTCCAAATCATGTACTTAGTAGTTTTCTTTTTTGTTTTGTTTTTTTAATTTGCATTTCCCATACATGGATCATTAGAAGTTTTTCTAGGAATGACTTTCCCTCAGGTTCACATTATTTCATCCACTAATGTGAACATGAGACAAACCAGAGCTACAAGGCCATTTTTCCCCTTTGACTTTCTTTGGTTTACCAATTGTCTATAGTGCAGAAAAGCAAAGCAAAGAATGTGAAACAGGAACATTTATTATGGAGTTCATACAAGGGTGAAGGTTCGAGGGAGTGGAGGATTTGACGTCAAGGAGGTTCAGCTTTGGCAATTTTCAACTTTTGCCAGTCCTTTAGGTGGTTTGGGGCAGCGCAGAGGGTTCATGAGAACACATGAACGGTGGTCATGTTAAGAATAAGCTTATTTTCTTGCTCTTAAAAAGTTGACATTTAGGAAATGGAAGGTTTTAATTTGACAGTGATGACATGTATGGGTTTAGGTGGATCTGTCCAAGAAAACATGAAACCCAAAAGCAAAAAGCAATATCTGCGTATGTCTTGAAATGATTTGGATGAGAAAGAGAAATGATCACAGGGGCAAAAATAATCATCAGAACTGTCAGGGGTCAAATTTGTTTCAAGCCCTGCAAGTCAGTATTAGACTGATATAAAAACATGCAAACGTCCGCTGAATTTTAAATTTGCCGTATACAGTAAGTATCTCGAGGCTATGTGGGATCGGATGATTGTGGCAAACATTCTCGGAAAGTCTCTGCTACCTAAACTTACCGCCTGGAGCTCACGCTCCTCGAAGATCCTGGAGAGGATGAGGCGTCGCAGCGGCACCGTCATGATGAGGACGAAGGGGAACGCCAGGGAGGCCGCAGTAGACTTCACTACCCACAGAGCCACGATGCATGCCAGCTGGGTGATGGTAAACATGTTCATGCGCCATGTCTTCACCTGAAGAAACACACACATATTGGTCAGAGGGTTAGAAACCAGGAAATTACAGCACAGACAGATATATCCAGAGATGCACAAATCACATTTTTGGCTCCATCTAGTGGAAAATTCTGCATCTAATCTTTTTTTAAACATGCATGAGGGTTAGATTTTCTGTCTCTCTTTTTTAAAGAAATTCACCAGGGAAAATTTTGAATTACAAAGCCATTAAGACTTGATTTTAAGACATGGGAATGGTTGTAATTTATTTACAGTCTCATAGGCTTTATTGCAAGTTATCACGATAAGCAGCTGCAAAGTTGCTCTAGCGTGAATGGGAGACCTGTTAGCAGGGAGTGTTCCCTACATAACAAGATCTAAGCTTTTCTATGTGAGCTATTAGGTTGGAAACCGTGCTGTTAAAAGAAAAAAAAAAATAGAGAGCAAGCATCTGCGCACTTGAGGACGTGCTGTTTAAGTTTCTGGTAAGACATGAAATACAATCCTACTATGTAGTCCCATGGAGAGTGTGTGTTTTCACGCACTGCTGCTGTGTGTACATAAAGATCCCACTACATCCCAGTTATAACTGTTTTTTTAACATCTAGGTAATCTGCTGCACATGTAAACACAGCAACTTTAGAAAAAGAGGTTATGTGTTTGAGTTGAAGGTGTTAAGTTGGTTTGATGGTGTTAAGATTAGCTGACCTGACAATATCGGAGCTTTGCTATTTTCCAGATATATCACATGTTGATGTACGAGTTATTTTTTTTATTACACAAAGTATTCTGTGACCATGGCAGAGAGATAACCCGTCTCTATAAAGATGCAGGCTACTGTCACATTGCCTGTGCTGTTTGACCGCTTAACAAAAGTAATGAAACTCATAAAGACAGCCTGGCTGTGTGCGCCTTAATTTATTTCAAATTTCAGCAACAATATATTGGGCAAAGGATGTTGAAGACGGAGCTTCATCCAGAGGTTCATGGATGTAGTGAAGGAGGACATGCAGAGGGTTGGTGTGACAGAGGAGGATGTGTCTTCTTATAGAAGACTCTCTCGAGTATTGCAGGATCTTTACCTTTTAATATAAAGCATTTTGAGGCAATGCTATAGCCAGCTGATGCAATATAAATACTGAATGATTTACGGGAGGCAAAATTTACAAGGTTTTAGAATACAGCGCAACACGACATGAAGTAACGCTAAAAGACTAAAATTAAGACATTTTTCTAGAATCTAGTTTTTATTTTTATCTTTTCTGATTTTTTTTTTTGCTTTAATATTTTAATTAGATGTTTTAAATTACAGATGTAAATGTTTTGACACCAGTAATACAAAGAGTAGATAAAACTATGCTATAGTCTGACAGCTGCAGGTGAAATAAGAGGAATGGATGAATTAGTAACCAGATGGCCAGAAAATGAACTGTGCTTTTCCCTAAACTGTTGAGGTTACTCTCAGATTTGGGTCCAAACTCCAGGAAAAAACTCTTTCGAAACCAGGACTTTAAACCAGAAATCTGCTGTGCATGGTTTTCATTGGGATTTGTCATTATCCACTGTGACGTTGTAGTATGTCTCTGACTCTCAGCATCTAAGCCTCTCTGTTTTTCTTTTGATTTAACTCAAACGCTGAGGACAGACGTCATTTTGGTCCCGCAGTTGCTGCTCTGCTGGCTTTGGTTTCTCCATGTTACCGCTCATAATAGAGCAGAGGGCATGTAAACACTGCTATTGCGTGTGCTACCTTGGTGACGTAGATGTGGTCCGGGTGGTGCTTGGCAGGCGTGACCATAAGCGTTATGCGTTCGTACAGCTGGATGCCCGTCAGAGAGGTGACCCCCATGTACAGGAAGATCCCGAAGAGCACAGCCAGAGGGATGAGGCGGAGAATATCTGTCATCACTATGGACATACCTGATGGGCAAACAGGGATTTAAAGGGGGACTTTTAACATGATTTTACTGCATGCGTGCACAATAACTGGCAACTGTGGAGAAAATTATTCATTCAACAAGGGAACGGGAACGGCCCGTAAAAACAAACACGCTGTCGTGCCTTTTATTAGAAACACACTCCCTCTTCAGATGCCTTGGTTAAGATACTCTGAGGGCTAATCCAAACAGTCTTCTTCCTAATCCAAACAGCATTTCACTCAAACAAAAGATCAACAATCATGATGACTCACCACGCCTGCATACCCAAACTGGATCAAACTAGACTTAAGATTGCTTCGGGAACCCTACCTTAATTGAAACAAGACTTTCAGTCGGCAAAACGCAATGAGTCAGTGGATGAAAAACAATGCTGCAATGTCAGGCAGTGCATTTTCACTTTCACAAAATTTTCTTCTTGTAGAACGACTGTCTCGGCTCATTTTGAAGACAAACAGAATGAAAAATCATTTTAAACTGTTGTTGGGCTGAGTCAACCTTCATGAATGTCTAGACATGCAGGAGCTACAGAGCTGCCACTCTTCCAGCTCGCGTTTATTTACTTAGAAATAGCCACTGGTTCAGATTCGTGTTTTATTCCATCTTGAATATTGATCTGGTGTAAATTCTGATCCTTACACTTTCCTTACATAGAATGATAAGAAGTGTAATTCTGCCAGCCGATTACATTGTCTCCCCTTTTCAATTAATTTTAACTAAATTAAATAGGTTAATTTCTGCGTTAATGTTGGTAAACTCTTAAAAAACAACAGGCTTTATATTTTTTCCTGTAATTGGACAAAATAATTGCGTTTATTTTGACTTTGGAATTAATGTTGCTATACTTACTATGGCAGCAGCCACACAGTGTATATGCAATCATGTGAAAATGGACATTTTCACAGACTCTGTGCAAACCCCTGAAAGACCAAGTGCACCCCATTCAGTATCTTGTAGAGCCATCTTAACATTAAGTAACTTGAAGTAATCTTTTTCTGTCTGACTTAAGAAGAACTTTAGGGTTGATGTAGCTCATTAGGTATAGCAGGTCAACTATTTGAGGATTAATTTATGCACAGTTCTCCTTCCTTAATCTTTTCCTTTTGTTCATCAGTTGATCATCAGTTTGTTGATCATTGTTCTGTTGCAAGACCCAATTTCAGCCAACCTTTAGTTTGGCTTTTGCCACAAGTGGCACAGTGCATTATTACCAAACATTATGACTCCACTCATATGTCCAAAGCACATTGTTCCAGAAGTCCTGTGGTTTGTTCAGATGCAAACTTTGCAAAGCTAAGTACACTATGTTCTTTCTTTTTACAGAGAAGAGGCTTTCTCCTAGCAACCCTTTCCAAACAAGCAATACTTGTTCAGTTTTTCTGATTGTGTTGTCATGCACTTTAATATTTACCATGCGAATTGAGACCTGTAGAATCTGAGCTTTTGGGTTTTCTAACAGTGTCTCTGTGCACTGAAAAATCTGAGATCTGGCTGAATATGCTGGTCCGTCCACTCCTGGGGAAAATGTGGCATTGTAGTAACACATCCGAATGCTGCAGACCAGAAAACTACGAATACTGCTTTTATAGAAGTGTCCAAACTTGCTAAAGATCAGTTAGTCAAGTGCATTTGATTAGCAGCATCTGTCTACTACTTATCCTCTTAACTCCTCCAAAAGAAGTAATGGTTTACTTTGTTTTTCACAGGACTGCACAGATTCCTTAAACAACGTTCTTTTCATTTGACTCGGCCACTGGCTTCACTTTCAGACTTTGAGGCTCCATTCTTGTGTTAAAGCACCTTAAAACTGCATTCCTTTTAATGGCCTGCAGTGGGGAGAAAATACCCCAACTCCTCAGCAATTAGGACCTTTTCCTAATGAGTTTATGGACTTAATTGATTATTTGAAATCTTACATAACAGAGCATGATACACATTTTTTTTTTTTTAAAGATATCGCAGTCAAAGTGCTGTAGACGTTCTAAACAACCATCTGTTTAGAAAGTCTGCAAATAAATATACATAAATGCAATGTATGTATATCTAAAACAACAGGCTTGATGTCAGGCCTTTCTAACTACAGTTGCTAAGCTATGATCAAAAAAGGAAGGGGGTGTGCTGCATAGTCATTTGATACTCCCCACTCCCATCCTTGCCTCTCCTCTTACCAACAAGCACAGCCACAAGAAGTCCGGTGAGCCTCTGCTCTTTCACCTCCTGGATCATGGGCTTTTCTCCAGGAGCCGTGGCCTTGCTCATCACTGTGAGCGCGTTAACATGAGTGACAGAGCGCACAGTGGCTGCCGTGAGCCACGGCAAGCCAAAAAGGGGGCAGAGGGCACCCAGGATGACAATGAGCAGGAGATCCAGATGGAAGCCGGAGCCTTTAACCAGCCGACGCTCCTTCTTACTGACTATCAACCTAAGATGTTGGAGGAACAAGACGAAAACAATAAAATGTTTATTTTAGTGAACATATTTCATGCACATGTACAGAATTCTTTGCAACTGTATATAATCATGGCGTGCGAACGTACGAAGTAATTTGAGTTTCCATGAAAATAAGAATGAACACAAGCAGGGCAGGAACAACAGACGCCCCCATCATCCAAGTGGGGAAGGGCTTCTTGTCACCAAAGGGGCTGATAAACCAACCTCTCTTATCAGGAGACGTGACAGAAAAACCTGATGGCACATTGAGTTTCTAAAAGAGAGAAAAAAAAATCTGTTTATAATACTGAAAAGAAAAATATGTTAGAGCTTTTGAAAAATGTCTGCACTTGCTGTGCAGGATTTCTGTGATTAGCAGTGACGCTACCTGTGTGTAAGTGTCAGTAATGGCGTAATCCACCAGTACTGAAACTAAGATTGAGATCGGGATGCCAAAGTCACCGATAATCCTTCTGGCCTGGGAATATCAAGAAACCAAACATTAAATTAAAAGTGAAAATACATCCCAGATCTCATAAAGAGAAACATCACTTGAGCATAAGTCAAAGATTATGAAGAAAGAAGTCATGTAGAAGGGAACAACCTCCTGTTGAGTGGAAAAATGCTGATTTGAATTGCTTTTCATATGAATGAGTATAAATTATATGACTGATCTGCTCTTTTTTCATCAAAACAAACCACTTTAGCTATCAAGACTAGCCAGCAGTAGTTTGTCTGTAAAACAGAAGCTTAAAAACGTATTTGCATCACTGAATAACTGCACATAACCGTTTCAGTGCAGAGACAAAGATATTTACCATCTGAAATCACACAGCCTACCTGCCTCGTCTCATCTTAAGCTACAGTTTACCTTCAAATATAAACTGTGAAGTCTTGATACATGCTCTGTCATCCAGGTACAGAAATGCCAGAAATGTTCATCTGGAACAAGTGAGTTATTCAGTCTTAGCTCACTGCAGGTTTTCCCAAACTTATAAATGGTACAGTTGCATAACAGTCATTATGCATTCAACTGCGAATGAAGAATACATTTGTATGAGTGACAAAACATTTCTGTCCAGATGGACAGAATCAACCTTCTGACATAAACGCTGACGTTTTCCTCCACTAGGAGTGCTAAAGAGCAATGTTTCATATATGGCCCTTGTTCTTTCACAGCATGTCACACATCCCTGCTGAGGTTTGGACACCTTTCCACAATATTTAGTGGTAACAGCATGCAGAAAAGCCACAGAGGATGAAGTTTAAACAATACTGTTTCTAAAATATACAGTAAAATATGTATTTATTTAGAAAGTAAATGAAATTTAAATTTCAAGAAGATGTTTCACCTCTCATTCAAGAGGTGTCGTCACTTCTAAAACCAAATGGAAGAGAGTTTCAGAGAGGTATTTAAACCTTAGTGAGGGTTGCTGACCTCACCTTAGCCAAGGTGTGAAAAAAGGTGTGGGTCCTTAACATCACCAGAGGTTTTGGCTGAAACCACACTGTGACACCTTCTCTCACCCTATCATGAGCATTGTACTTTAGACCCAGCTGCAGCTTCAGACAAATACTGGTTTATCTCAAGGACAAAAGCTCCCAAACACAAGATAACAACACTGTGCATGCTGTGCAGAGCAGCACTATACTGTATACCCTCACCTAAAGGGTAAAGGTCACTCTTTCGACAACAAAGCGGGCTTGACAGAAGAGTAAAAGAAGCCATCTATGTGCCCTGTGTACAACCGTAATTAAACAGATGCGGTGGGTTATGACACCAGCTGTCAGCCACCTACAATGCAGTCTTGAGATCTCTTCCCAAGCGCCTCAACCCCCACTCACAACACGTGTCAGCTGACCTTAATAGATCATATGATAGGGTGAGGGCAAGGTATCGCAGTGGTTTCACCCTTGTCTCCATGAAACATAAAGAAGTCCATTCACTTTAGACTTAGACTAGATGTAATAAAAAATGCTCTATAGAGTTCATTTATATTCTCATGAGATGCATGATATGATTTGTTTGAAAGGGTTAAAGGAAGTTTATTACCTTGCCACCTAAAAACCGGCTGTTTCGAAACTTCCTGAGAAAGAATGCAACAAAGAAAGTGCCCATCATGAGCACCAGAGAAAGAAGAGCAGTGTTAGGCTGGTTGTATATGGGACCATCAAAATTTTGAGCCCCACTGGCGTCAGTGGGATACACAGCCATCAGTGGATGTTCCTTAAAAACCTGGAAGAAAAAAAAAAAAGAGTAAATCTATACAATGTGACTGATTTTATTAGCATTTGCAGGACTGATTACTGTTTAAATTCTTACCTTGATGAGCTTAGAGAAAGTTTCATAGATGAAGATGAGGGAGATGAGGAAAGCGAAAATCTCCTGTGTAAAAGGTGAGATGTAGCGGACAAGGAAGCTACCCTCTGCTGCCACAATCACCAGGACGATGAAGATGAGCCAGAAGCCGATCCACACTCGACCAGTCAGGTACTCAAAGTTGTAGACCTGACAAAACTGAGTGAGAGGACAGATTAATCACCTGACAAGAGAAAAAGTACATGGGATGGCATGAAGTGGGAGGCTTTGTGTTGTCATTGCCTTGCTAAAAGTCACCTTATAGAAGGCCTCTTCAAACACCAGTAAGGGTCCAGAGAAGCCAGTGATGAGAAGGGGTTGTCCAGCAAGCAGTGAGAATATAACTCCGATAGTTGCAGTGGAAACAATGAGTTCAGTCACTCCCATCATGCCCTCTGTTTTCTCTCCTGTATGCAGAAGTAGCCACACAGAGATAGACAAATTACATGCAGTACATCAAAGAATATGGACTATATCTTTTAAGTAAGTTTTGATTACCCAGGAGGCCTCCAAAAGTAATAGTGGGTGACAGTGCGGCAAAATAGATGAAGATGACAGCAGCAATGCACTGCATGTCCAGGGCGTCTTTTAAGTCGCTCACATATTGCGGGTAACGCCTGCGGATGTCGTGGATCAAACCTCCAAACAGCATTCCTGAGCGCTTTAATGGATCCACTTCCTGTTCTCCCTCCTCCTCCTCCTCAGGACTCACCTCTGTGGGCATTCATACAGGCGTCACAGCATGAACAAACGAATATCCACAGACCATCCATGAGTAAAAAACAATAAACCACTGCAGTTCTTCAACTGGCCACTTGACGTTACCTCCAAAAGGGAGTCATTTCTTTTTGACCCTCATTTTAAAATGTCCAACTTTATAGTAGAAAGAAACGTATCCTTTATAACAGCTGTACAGGGGGTAAATTATGTGCTTTATCTTCCATGCTTAAATTTTATTGCTGCTTTTTTTTTTTGCAAATATTAGTTCATTACTTCTGTGACTGACCAGTGGGTGCTAAAATACATAGCGATTGATGCTAGCTGTTTATGATGCTAGTTACTGATGTGGACCATTTGACCATATTTATGCTGCCGGTTGCTTTTGGAAAAGGCCATCCAAGAAGTCCAGCTTTTGTAAGCAAAATTCTAGTATTTTATTTGGTTGTTAATTAGCTAGTACAAGTACAAGTACTAGTACAAGTAATACAAGCTAGTATTGGTTTCTGTCTATATAGCCTATGCACATTCCTTGCTAACAAAGCTTTTTAGCATTTGGCTGATAACTTAACGATTCATTTGCTCTTCCAAATCTAATAATTTCTTCCTCCAAAAAACAAGGTAGTGAATGAAATTTATATTTTTTCTATTTACAATAGATTCTATGAAAACATCAGAACTTACAGAAGAGAAAAGACATGAGAATAGATTAGACACATTTCTTCTGTTGATTTGAGCCCTAATACACAAGTCTCAAGTGTCCAGGTGTCTAGTTGTTCACTGAAGTTTTCCAGCCTTTTCTGAACCAGTGCTGACTGGAACAATTCAAGTACATTATTTTTTACCTTTGATTTCTGCCTCTACTCCAATTAAGGAGCTGTGCTTCTTGAGCTCTCTTTCCTTTCTCTTCCGCAGCATCTGTTTCTGGAAGTCAGCCACTGTCTTCAGGAGGTCTTTTCCCTCCACGTCTGACGGTGGAATCACGATGCTGTAGTCCAGGAATTCATTGATGCCATTCAGGAGGTCTTGTCTGTCATCAGCAAAGTAGGCAACCTCATGGAAGTTCTAATCCAGAACAGAAGTGGATGGCCGTGACAGAAAAAGCAGGATAATTAGAAATCTGTGTGACTTGTCCAATTTTAACCCCCACTTTCTATCACTGGAAAGATATTATAGGATTCAAAACTATTTTGGTTTAGCAGATTATCATTATTAGTAAAAAAAATTACACACCTTAGAGCCTTAGAATGAGATTTGAAGGCTACCTTGTCTGACATGAGAGTGGAGAAAGAACGTCCAATTTCATGATAGTCCACGTTGGACTGACTGGGACCGAGAAGGACGAAAATAAATCGAACAGGGACGGGAACCTCAAGCACCGACTCCAGAAGGACTGCCTCGCTCAGCCTGACAAAGGCCATAGCCGGCTGCTCCAGAAATTCAACACAACCTTACAGAACAGGACAAAATAAAGAAATAAAAAAACCTGCTTACTGATTTGATGTACTTCACAAGAAAAATATTGAGAGTGGCAGTTTGTGAGGCACAGCCAAATCAAGAAATTAGCATTATTCTCCCAGTGGTTTATAAAAACTGAAAAGAAAAACTCTGTCCCAAAGCTTACCAACTAAAACAATGACCGCCTCAGCGTCTTTGGGAATCTTGGCGAGAAGTTTCATAGATCTGGCTGTGGCTGGATGAGTCTCCGGCAGAGGGTGGAGAGATTTCTTGGAGGAAGAACAGTACAAAGATTACCCACATTACTGGCTAGCCAGGGTGATGTGATATAACAAAGAACTGCGCTAATAATGTGACATTATTCTTACATTTGTGGGAACGTAGGTATCAACAGTCACATCTCATTTCAAACCATTTTTTATGCCTGAAAAATATTTTTTAATAAGCTGGTTTAAATTTGCCAACATTTTAAGCTGAGGAGGAACAAGTTTTCGCAGCTAATATATCAAGATGCTTTAACCAGAAGCACCTGTACACTGACTAAGAACTTAACTCAACACATGTGGCGCAGGGAGGCCTGCATTCTCCGACTTCAAGAACTACTTACATGACCTCTGACCTTGTTAAGAAGCGTCTCAAAGGCCAAAGTGAGAGCCACGGGCCTCACATCAGGAATTTTGTGTAACCACGTTCAAAATCTGTGCTCACTGTGTGCTTCTTAGAACTTAATGCAAACCATAAACTAAAACAAGACAGCTCAGCGTCCCTTTAATCTCCGTCCACTTAGATAGCCGAGTCCAATTACTCCGGTGGGATCTTGTCAGAGCTACTTAATCACTCACTTTGGCTTTGGTAGAGCCAATTTAACGCGCTGTCTGCCTGCACTGTTTCAACGACGTCACATTGTTTCATCACCGAGACCCCATATTTCTCAGATCTCTGTCAGGAGCCTCTTAAAAATCAAATGAGCTGTGTAAATGACGTTAACTACAGAGACACTGACAATGTGTAACACATTAAAGAGAGAAGAGAAAACTTACAAACAGGCTAACAAAAACGTCTTGTTTGGGATCGTACACGGGTCCTTTGTGTTCGTGGTGCTCATCGTGCTCTTCGGACACCAATGGCTGGTTGGTGTCGTGGACGTGGTTGTGGTTGTAGCTGCCATGAAGACTGCTGGATGAGTGGTGGCGATGAAAACGATTTTTGTGATCGCTTAGATGGCTGCAAAAAAAATAAATATATATATATACAAAGTTTGGGTCATAGTAAGAGAGCAGATTCTAATGATGATATAAGCAACCAATACCTGTCCACTCATTTCATTTGAATCCCAAAAGTCAATCTCATGTGAGAGCCAAAAAAGGGCTAAGAGATCATCAAAGTTTTCAAATTGTTATATACATTCTCATTTCGAAATGCCAGTTGCAGTTGTTATCTCATCCATAGATATGGCCAGCAACTGCCATCCTATACTGTCTGCAAGGAAAAGCCTGCACAGTGATAGAAAACTGGAGGCTGGACATTGAGATGGGGATTTTAGGTCCTATCTCCAACACTTGAAACTATGCAGACTCGTACTTGTGGTGCTACAAAATAGACTACCGGTGTAACATTTCAATGCCTAAATCTAACCAGACAGTGAATGAAAACAAAAGTCAGTGAGTAAAAGTGAAAGGCCAAGAAAGTTACCTTCAAAAGGAGGTGGTCGAACTCGAGATGAAGGTTATGGGATTGTGCTACCAACAACTCCCCCAACTGTGCTTACTTTTGTTGCTGCTTTAGAACGGAAACACGCTTCTGTCAACGAGGTGGCACCTCCAAAATTAAATGTGTTAACTGCCCGAGTCTGCTCGTAGCTGGAGACAGCCAAGAACTGGTGATACCAAATGATAAGGGTCATTCAGGGGAATAAGAACAACGGAAAATAGTCTGAATCAAATTTGGTGCAAGTCCAGTCTTGTAAATGTCAACATTTTTCCCCGGCTGAAATCCATGACATTAATAAATACCTACGTGAACTTTCACAAGACCTGAAATTCCAGTGGGTGCTTCTGCAAGCACTTTTTCAAAGGTAAGAATCAGAAATATAATCTTAACTCAAAGCCTCCAGAAGGTGCAGCTGCTTTTACTATTATTTAATAACTACTGTTTTCAAGGCCAAAAATATCCATGCTCAATTGCCTAATGCTAAGGACAGCTTAATCATTTTTAAGTGGGCTGCAGAATTACCTGGATTTTAGAAATGCTCAAAACAGCTGTGCTTCTTATTCACCTAATCCATCTTTTGTTCATTTAATGTGTTGACCATCTTTACCTCATGCGGCTGCAGTGGAGGTTATAAATCTTAGAAAAGTCATCAGCAAAATCCTTCCAAAATTAAACCACTTTGCAGCTAATCAGAAAGCGGTTTCAGGAAAATCTGAGTTGACACATTAACGTGATATTTGCATTACGGTATCAATAAAAGAGCCAGAGACTGACCTTTGTAGCCCTTATTTTCTCTGCTTTCTTTGCGTGTGATGTTAAGCACATTTCACCCCACTTAAAGACGAGTTTTTAAGCATGTCAAACTGGCCAAGTTTCACTACATCACTGTTCAGTCCACTGGTGACATCACCTCACTCATTAGGCCCACATGGTCCAATAAGACTGTGCTCAAATTGGAAGAGACAGCGCCCCAAGACAAAAGAACGAAGTGTGACACTGAAGTCAATTGCACACAAAACGTTTCCAAAGGATCCTTAAAGTGGTCTGAGTAAGCGATGAGCTAAATCCTAGCAGCACTTCAGTGTGATTTTATTCCACGTCATAAATCTGATCTTTTAACCTAGCGATGACTCTAATGACGGAGTGTTCTTTTCCCTGTGGAACCAGCCAGTGACATGCTGGGAATTTATGCGAAAAGGCAGTGAAATGTGGAACGAATGCATGAAGGCCCGCTGCTAAGAACGTCCACTGGCCTGCTTCTTCTGAGTGCATCTGCTGTGGCGCTTTGTGAGCATGTGTGCAAAATATGTAAAAAAGAACTGTAAATGTTGCCACGGTTAAATTTATGATATTTATTTTTCGCTATAATCCATGGGTCTAACTACGGTCACCACACCATTATCCAGGAGAGTTTCTTCTTCTTCAAATCCAGGCTGTACCATTCTGCCTTAAAAAAAAAGGGGGAACCTGGCAGGACTGAGGTTCTATGGAGTCAGGCGAAAAAAGGGACATTCTGAGCTCCTTGTAAAGTATAACAATAACAGGCGTGAGGGAAAATTCAACACCAGTTGACAAAACTGTCTCACTCCAAGTTCAAAAGTTGTTCTGGAATGCGCTTGTCTTCCTTATCTTATTTTCTATACTACTTCCACCTAAGTACAAAAGCATCATTTTAGAAAAGCAAAAGTCACAGGAGCTCTTGAGTTAAATATCATAAGCTGCAGAACAGGATTTAGATTTGTTTCTATTAATATTAATTGGAGGCTTTGTGAGTAAGATGGCAACATTGTATGTACTTCTGACAGGCAGGGCTCGTCTTTCCTCTGGTAATTTAGCCAACATTTACTCGACTTGTTTCCAGTCTCTAGTTATGTAACTGTAAAATGTAATTCGCTGTGTTATAGAGCGCTATTCGATTGGCCACGTGTATCACAGTTTAGCTGTCGTGTCAATGCCAGGGCAAATCAATGAGTGGCAATATCAGGGAGCACTGGAGTCACAGTTCCATGCTTTTATTTGTTTGACTTGGGTACAGGATGTAAGTAACTATATCCTCACGTGTTTTGTGAATAGCTAGTTAAATATTACTTTTTTGAATTCGGATTATGACAACGAAAAGCACGTTCTAGTGTCCTATGATTACCACCACCTTCCCATATCTACTCATATACACTTCCGCTGGTTTAACAGCATCACACCCAATAATTTCCAACAACACCATCGATCCAGCAGTGGCAGGCTTAGACTTACTAATGCAGAAAAAAGCAAAGCGCTGAAAACTCCTCGGCTCAAATAACAGCTGAGCCAGCTAGAAAGAAACAGGAAACATTTGAAATGAAAACACGTATAGTTTTTTAGGAAAAAAGTAAGCCTGGATTTATAAAGTGAATTTTGGGGACACATAAATTTTACACTCTCCTTTTCACTCTCGGTGCGTAGGAATCAGCAACAGTCTTAAACAAAGGCAAAGATCAAACATCCAGGAAGGACCACACAACGAAGACTCAAACGCTAAGTCTAACAGCACAGGCTTTAACACTCAGTACAGATACAGCCCAGTCTTGACATTTGCAGTTCAGTCAACCCGGGGAAGTACAGCAGTTGATGAGCCAAGTCTTGTTAAATGTCACTTTTTGGAAATTCCCAGCTCAGTTCCCCTGAGTTGAATTTTTTTTCTCTCCTCTGTGGGATAATGATTAATGAGCAGGAAGGCTTGGATCTAATTCTTCATACGACCAAACCTACAATCCAGGGTCAGAATGTAAACAAAGCTGCATCCACAGTACCCTAAATTGACAGGTTGGTTAATACATGGGTAAAGAACCAACTAAATCTCACTGATTTTAGGGCATATCTCATGAAACAGAAGTCAAGGGATAAACAGGAAGCTTTTTTTCTCAAAGATCCAAAGATAAACATGTTAAGGAAGCACATTCTCATTAAGCTACTGTAAATCCAAACGCATAAAGCACACTTAAACAACCTTTTCTTAACATGAGTGTGTTACATGTTAATATGATCTTTACTCAGGGTCAGGCACAAAGTCAAAAAGAGCCTTAACCAGACTCCTTTCAAATATTTCAAGAAAGCTAAATGGTTTGCTCTTCTGTGTCCCCTGACACAATGAGAACTTTTGGAAAAACTTACACACCAAGTCACATCTTTCTTTCTGCTCTCTATCTGTCAGAGCTAGTGCACACACTGGCACACACGCCTACAAACATAAAGCAGCAGCAGTGCACAGGATGACACCCTGTGTTACAAAAATCGAAGGTGGTGTTAGCATTTTAACTAGTCTTTATAATTAAACTGCTGCAAACCAATCGGGGAAAACAATCACTTTTATTTCTCTGATTCACTGCTCTGCTCGGCTTTTATTTTTCATCTCTTTTCCATTAACTTGAAACATCTTCTCCTTGAACTGTGGTTCTTCACTGTTTACCACCGCAGGAAATAATGTTATGAATTGGTGATGCACTCAATCAGGCACAGCCTAATGCTAGTGTCAGCCTGGTTACTGACCTGTGTTTGAGAAGCAGGGCCCGAAGAACGTTGGGCCTATCCTCGGCTCTGATCTGATCGGAAATGATCATCGTCTCCACGACCAGGTGGGCGATGCCGGGCAGAGAGGTCTGTTCGAGGTCCAATAGGATGGCACCTAGAGAAGAAAGGCCAACCCAAACAAGTCGCTGCTGCAACTTTATTCAGTCTTAAGGGGAAGAAACAGTTTTAAGCAAGCTTGAAACAAAGCAGGAAACAATTTGCGGTTTTATGCATATCACAGTTATGTTTGTGAATTTCATTTCAGCTGCACATACGATAAACTGCATGACTGATAACCTGATGCTTGCTGGACACACGCAGGAGCTTTTTACCATGTGTGATGGTGCGGCGAAGCTCCAGCAAGCTGCGGAAGGACAGCGAGGCCACATGAGGTTTTCCCCAGCGGTCCGTCTCATCGTCCACATCCTCCTCGAACTTGATCCAGCGAGCGCGCTCCTTCCATCGCATTTCATGGTCCTTCTCCACAATCAGCTCGTTCAGCTCCACAAACAACTGGAGATAAAACAGGGCAGAAACATAAGCGCTAAAGCACACGCTTGACCCGTTACACGTACCTGTCTAAGATTACTTTTGGAATATGTTTGACAACTGTGTTATGAGGGTGTAACTCAGAGGGGAAAAACATGTCTATCACGTTGTTTATAATCCATGATCAAGTTCCTTGGAACGCATTTAAAGCTGTGAAAATCCCCCCAACTTCTTTTCCAAGTTCCTATCTTCAATACAGTTTGTTTACCAAAACATACACGGAGAAAGAATAAAATAATGATTGAAGACAGTGCACACAGCACACTCAACCAGCTAAGAGGAAGGCTGTGTGCATCATGCACTCGCTGTCTTTGGACAGAACTAAGAAGAATAAAGTGGGCTAGAGGGACAATCTGTTACTTTTTTAAAAAGAATGACTTTTTTCCTCAGAGCAACACAATTTTTGTTTTTGACTGTCAAACTCAGAAGAAACAAATATGCACTTTGTGCTTAAGCTACAGTAAGACTACACTTGGGACCTGTAATTAAAGCTCTACTGCTCAATACTTATACTAATACTAACTAGGATTGTGTGTGAGAAAGGGGAAAAGCATACACAAAATTATCCCCCACTCTGCAATTCCCCTGAGCATTGCTGATCTATTTTCACCGTTTCAAGGTTTTAGTTTTGGTTTGTCTGCCTACAGTTTATATCTGCATGTTGGTTATTTCTCAATCCTTTCATCAACCTTTTTTCAAACACAGACTGTAAATGGATAAAGCCATCGTGACACAACTTATTGCTTAGCAAAGGTCATTCTAGAAGCACCAGCTTTTTCAAAAAGGAACCAGTCTGACCGAGAAACTGGAACACAAGAGACATTTAAATGATAGCAACTTGTTAACTGAATATACCTCGATTTAATTTCTTTTTTGACTGTAATGAAGACCATTATTTACAAAAAGAACATCATGTTATAATCAGCAAGACTTGAAACCATGAACTCGTGAGGAAGGTGTTTACTTCGGTCACAGGTCACGAGACAAGGGCTGTTCTCCCATAGACTTCTATGGAAATTAGTTTCATTATGTAGCTAGAGGAGATGCCCCCTGCTGGAAATTAAAAACAATGCGGGTTAAAGGCACTTGCATATTAAATGATAATTTCAGCCACAGAAGCTACATCCATCTCTTATAATCACTTTTGGAGAGCAGCAGGGAGATGTTAGTGGTGTCATGTATTTAATATATATTCTTAGCACTTATTTGCTGATTATATTGTTTTATGTATAAGAGAGGTCCAACTCTGAGTACAGTCTGTGCCAAAAAGTACTGACAGGAAACTGCATGCTTTTGCAGAGAATATGAGCTGCAGGCAGAAAGTGAAACTAAGTAGTGTTTGATTGAAACTTAAAGTGTGAGTGACATGTAGAGGAAGTATATAAATAGACCACTTTGAGCCGTGTCTTTCTTTGCCGTTAAGAGAATACCAAGAACTGGATTTAATACTTGGTGCCGTGACCCGGATTCTTTTGTGGCTGAGGGGACTAATTCGGAATTTAAGGTACGATCTGATATGAGGCAAAAAAGGTAAAGCCATTGTACAGTGTCTCCTTTTGTAACTTGTTAGCAGCCTTTGGATCACTTATTAGTTAAAGGACAAGATATTTTCCCCGCAGCACCTTTATTACACAGTAAAAATGTCAGTAACAATCTCAGTTGTTATCACTGTTAATCTCTGCCACTGTGCCAACACAATATTATTTAACACTGTTTAAGGGTAGAATTCTTAACAAAGCAAGCTATTTAAAGAAAGTTCACTCATGAACCAAAGAAGTTTCTTTATGATGCTATCATAATAAAATCGAAGACTCACAGTCATAGAAACAACTATCAGGAGGCTGTGAGCCCCAGCACATGTGCAAAAGTACTCACATCTGACTGTGTCCCTGCAACAGTATATGTCTCCAGGACCACATTTTGTCATGCTGACGCACAAAAAACAAAAACTATAACACAGTGAAAAGAACACCAGCTATGCTACTGCATGTGATTAAAAAAATAAGCAAAACAAAACATGGCTGTCTCCACGCTGCAAACCTCGTGAGTTTTCTTTTCCGAAGCCCTCTTCTTCTTCTTCAGGCTGGACAGCGGCGTAGAACTGTTGCTGGTCCGGCTCATGTGACATCGGGACGACTTCTTCACCAGGTGCCGACGCACCCCAGGGTTATCCTCAAATCTGTGACCTAGTGTTGTCGAATCAGAATGTAAGAGGTCAGAAGTGCTAAGTCATGATGTCTGGATTATTAGTAAACAACCCGAATATGTATATTTAGTAAGAGGTAGGCTGAAATGCTTTTTTAAGTGTGTGTTTAATTATAAAATGTGCTCCATACTGGAACGTCCAATAACATAAGGCACAGACTACACAGTATTGTGTGGAACAGGAAATTGTTACAGAAGAGGAGGTTTTACGCACAAACATTTGTCAGTTCATAAAAACTATATTCAAATTCAATTTCCTCGACCTGCCAATCACATGTTATTGAATTTTGGATGAGGCAGCCTTGGCAACGACTCTCCATTCAACAGAGGGGGAAGATTGGGTGGTCCCTAAATTTGAATAAAGGGAATGGAAATCTAAAGCTAACATAGCTTTTCCACATATGTGGAAATATGTTTAGAGAGAAACGATTTCAAGTTCTGATTATCATAATCTATTTACAATTCATTACAAAACTAAAGAAACACAGGTTGGTGGATCTGGTTTGTGTATGCCAAAGTAATGGTGGACTGTACTGCTGCCGACCAGCCAGAGCGGCCAGTGCATGAAAATAATTTCTTCCTGAGTAAACACTGTCTTTTTTAATTTTTCTCCCTGAGCAGCTGGAGGCCGAGTGTTTGTGTGTGCACAAACTGCTGTTAGTGTTCCATCCTACTGCGTCATGCCTTCCTTGGGGAAACAGAGAGAATGGAAATGAAAATGAAGTTAAGCTACATTTTATTTTGTAAAGTCTCCCAGGCAAAAACCTCTGAAGGTTGGCCTTGTTTGAACTGTCTCAGCTGATCTGGATGAGCTGTTTTTTTCTCACCACAGGGCAGGGCAAAGAAAGGGCATTCCAGTGTAGGTGAAAAGGACATTCTATCCATCTTCTTGAACTCGTTGAACCCATGTCAGACTTTCTCCAAACTCGCAGAGAAAACATGACTTAGATGCCCAATGATACCTGAACCATAGTAGGGTATAATCCAACACACTAGAGCAACAATTGTCCAGATATTTTGTAAATGTCTGATGAACTTTCAAGCATTTAGAAAAAAATCTTTGGAAGTATCAAGGCCTGTAACCTTACATTTGCGAAGAAAACTCCTTTTAACCTCCTGGGGTCGCTTAAAAAAAAAAAAAGGTGAGTAAGAAGAAACACTAATCATGGGAAGCCCCCAGCAGCCTAGGCTTATTACTGCATGACTAAAGGGGACTCAGGGTCATGTGTCACAGCTCTAAGTACATCACTTTCTTCTAAATGAAAATTTAAAGTCTAATCTTAAAAGCAGAGTCTTTCTCTGAAACCAAACTAGAAGCTTGTACAACAGAAAACAGGCCTGAAATCTGAAGGTTCTGGCTCCTACTCTAGTTTTAAATACCCCACAAACCACAAGTGAACCAGCAGTCTGAGAGCAAAGTGCTCTAATGGGGGGTATGAAGTCTTTAAGATAAAAGGCGGAATGATTATTTTACAAGTTTAAATTCAATTCTAGATTGAACAGGGAGCCAATGAAGAGAAGCCAGTACGGACGAAATATATTTTGTCTTTCTTGGTCCCGTTCAGCAGTCTTCCTGCAGAGTTTTGGATCAAATCAAGGCTTTTGAGGGAGTTTTTAGGACATCCTGATAATAGTGAAAAACAGTAGTCCAGCCTACAATTAATGAATGCATGTACTAGTTTTTTCAGCATCACTCTGGGAAAGGATGTTTCTAATTTTAGAGATAATGCACAAATGGAAAAAAAAGCAGTCCTACATATTTATTTGATATACACACTGAAGGACATATCCTGGTCAAAAATGACTCCAAGATTCCTTACAGTGTCACTGGAGGCCAAGGTAATGCCATCCAGAGTATGCATCAAGTTAGACACTGTATCTCTGAGATTTTAAGGGCCGAGTACAATAACCTCAGTTTTATTTGAATTTAGAAGCAGGAAATTAGAGGTCATCTAGGTTTTTATGCCTTTATGAATAGATAAAAGTGGGTATCTTATGCATAATCAGTGAAAATGTGTGCTATGCCTTCTAATGATACTAACTTCTAATGACATGTTCTAAAACACATTCAGACACATTCTAAAACAGGCAGAAAGATTTTTTAAAATAAAATGCCAACATGCAACATTTCAAATGACATATTTTAAATTTTACTTCATGTCAAACCAGCCTATAGTGGCACCACTCCAGTTATACAAACCCACAGGCAGTAGTTAAGATGTTGTGAAATACGGTCTTTAACACGATGAATGTGTGTATAAAATAATACAAATAAATAACATAAATAAAACTACTGTACGCTAGCAACAATGTACTGAGTTGCAGTGCTCAAAATGCTAAGACTCATGATGGCAGCGCTAAAATTTCGCTTTCTCTCACTGTACATTTTCATTGTCATTTAATGTCACATGAAAATACTGGCCTTGGGTTAAAAATGGTAAATGGTAAATGGTCTGTATTTATATAGCGCTTTACTAGTCCCTAAGGACCCCAAAGTGCTTTACATATCCAGTCATCCACCCATTCACACACACATTCACACACTGGTGATGGCAAAAAAAAAACATCATAGTTTGTGTTGAAAAACCTTATTGCCATCAAGATGTTTAAAGGTAAAGGAATCCCTTTGGTTGGAATCATAATTTGACACATCTGCTAAAACAGGTAATAAAGAACTAAATGTATTTTAAGACCTCCAAAAATAAACCCCAGTGCTTTCATCTGCCCCGGGAAAGGTAAAAAACAAGTCCAAAAATGCACATTATAACCTAATTATAACCTAACCGCCCCCAACATGTCCGGCTGGATAACCACTGCTCATCTACAATCACAATGAACACTGGTGTACCACAAGGCTGTGTGATGAGCCCTTTCCTCTACTCCCTCTTCACCCACGACTGCAGACCTGCTGATGGTTC